TGCCCACCCCCCAAAACCTTGTGCTCGCCCTGCCCTCTGCGCAGCCCCGCAAGGCTCGTGTTTCTGAGCAATGAGGTGCACTGAATAAATCGAGGTGTGGATGGTTTCTGGACGACTGTCACTGCCATTGTCACATTTCTCCGGGCAGAGCGGGGTTTCCAGCTGGGCTGATCCGTGCCGTGAGTCCCCAGGTCCAGGCAGCAGCTGGACTCTTGGCTGTCATTAGCAGGGGACACATGGTGACAGCACAGCCCTGCCCTGCCCAGCTGAGCCACTCCTTGTCACAGCCCGAGCCCTGCTCAGCACAAAGCCCAGCCTGGGCTGGGGAAAACTGCAACAAACCGCTGCAAAATGGGTTTGGTCCATCACTCATCCCCCCTGCACCAGGAGAAAAGAGTATTTGCTAAAAATGAGCACTGCTTTCCTCTTGTGAGCCCCAGGTCCCCTTGCAGACAGCTCTGCAGGATGTGGCCAGTCCTTAGCCTCGAGTGCAAAGGCTTTCCCAGGCTCACAGACTGAAATTACTTGGCATTTTCCTCATCACACAGTGACCTCAATTCTTGAGACATTTCCATTACCCATTTTCTAGGGGTCAATGCAAAAACATCATCTCTTTTGAGGTAATACACTGCTCAACTCTTAACCTCGTTTTTTCCAAGAGAATGTGGAAGTGACCAGTCTGAGTCACTCATGATCATTTTTAATAAACTTGTCATTACTCAGTGTACACAGAACAAACCCTCACCCTCCTCTGCCACGCTGATGCTCTTGAGAAACAGTTAATTTGGATTATATTTTAAAAACTAAGACCACGTGCTCCGTTAATGATGTGCAAATCAGCTGAACGCACACATTGCAAAGAGACCCTGCAGGATGCAGATTTTACCCTCTGTCCACTACAAATAAAATCAGAAAGTCACAAAATCAACTGCAGCAGAAAGAAAAGAACCCAGAGCTTCCACTGACCTTCATTTTGCTGCGTTTCCCTGTTAGTCCATCACCTGAGGAGGAGGAGGAGGAGGATGTCCCCAGCCCTGTGAGCGGCTCAGGCAGCTCTGGAGGCTCTGGCTGGAAGCCTGCAGAGGGAAAGCTCAGCCTCTGCCCCCTCCTGCTCGCTGGGAGCCCCAGGAAAGCAGCTCTGGCAGTGGGGGGAGCTCATTACGTGGCAGAATTCTCTCCAGGGAGCCCCTGGCTGCAGCTGGTGATGTGCAGGACACACAGACTCCCCTGCAGGGAGTGCCTGCCCTGCTCTGAGCACAAAACCCAGGGCAGCAGGGCTGCACCAGCAAAAGGGCTGCATTTGGAAGCTTTTTTGCTGCAGCATTTTTTACTCCTGGTTTGTTATGTTTGGGGTTTTTGTTTGTTTGTTTAGTTGTTTTTATTTTATTTATTTATTTTTTTTTTTTTACTTCAAAGTGGTGTGAGTTTTGATACACTTTTAATCTGTCTTTAGAAAACTGAACAGATCCCCTTTGTGGTTATAAATCCCCTGCAAAACCACCTCACCCTGCAGAGGCAGAAAACCCAAGGAGGAAAGCTAAACATGATCTGCAGCTGAAGGGTTTTGTTTCTTGGACTTAAATACAGTTAAGGTAGAATGTTATTTAAAATGATTAATGGTTGCTATTTGCTTGGCCACAGCTGAGTCCTGGTCATGCTGGTGCACACGTTTTACCACTTTGGACTCAGGATATCTTGGGAGTTAGCAAATTTTTACTGGTTTTGCCTTTGTACTCGCTGGCTTTTCTCTGGTAAAAGCCTCTTCCTTCCTCTTTCCACAGTAGCTTCAAGATTAAATTAGACACTGGCTCCCAAAGCCACGATCCTGTAGCTAGAAAAGACTTTAATATCTTCAATAGAAAATGCTGAATTGAAAAGCTTCATCAACCAAATCTACACCTCTGGGCTGGAGCAAACCAGCTGCTGTCCAGAGGAGAAAGAATTGCTGGCACAAACCAGCCCATTTCAGCGCCTTTTTGTTTTTTCTCCTCTTCCTTCCTCTTTCCACAGTAGCTTCAAGATTAAATTAGACACTGGCTCCCAAAGCCACGATCCTGTAGCTAGAAAAGACTCTAATATCTTCAATAGAAAATGCTGAATTGAAAAGCTTCATCAACCAAATCTACACCTCTGGGCTGGAGCAAACCAGCTGCTGTCCAGAGGAGAAAGAATTGCTGGCACAAACCAGCCCATTTCAGCGCCTTTTTGGTTTTTCTCTTCTTTCTTTTTTATTTTTTAAACATCAGGAGCAGAAGTTTGACCCCTTCAGACACTTCATGCTGTGATCAGGAGCCATCCACTTGCTACCCTGGAGTTTTTCAGGTGCTCCAGCAGTTGAAATGATGGAGAAATATCAGTTACAAACCCACAGTTGTGTCCACAGAACTACTTTCAAATAAATTTAAATGTTCCCATGAATGAACCCCAGAGGGATTTCCTGCCATGGCGGGGACCCCTCCCACTGTACCAGGGGCTCACAGCCCTGTCCAGGCTGGCCTTGGGCACTGCCAGGGCTCCAGAACAGCCCCAGCTGCTCTGGGCACCTGTGCCAGGGCCTGCCCACCCTCACAGGGAAGGATTTTTTCCCTAATATCCAACCTAAACCTCTTTTCTGTTAGTTTGAAGCCATTCCCTGAGTGCTGTCCCTCCACCCCTTGGAAATCCTCTCTCCATCTTTGCTCTTGGCTCCTCCAGGCCACACTGAGCTCCCCCCAGAGCTTCTCCTGTCCGGGGGAACAATGCCAGCTGTGCCAGCAGAGCTGCCCCATCCCCTGCCCACCCTGGAGCCTCCTCTGGACCCTCTCCAGCAGCTCCAGCTCCTTGCAGGTGAGCTCTCTGTCAGCCCCACACCTGCATTTGTGGGCGAGGTGGGGAGATGTGAACGGGGCATTTCAGGAGAGAGAAACTCCAGACCCACTTCAAGCACATCCAAACCCTCTCCCATTCTCCCTCAGCCAAAGCTGTGCCACTGCAGGAGTCCCTGAGCCCACGGGGGTTTGAAGTTGCAGCAAGGGCTGCAAGGCTTCCTGTGCTGCCCCTGGCAATGACAACACCACCAACAACAACCACAACAACAACAACAACCAAAGCCCAGCCCTGGCTGAGCTCACCCTGAGCTCCTCTCACAGGGGTTTTCCCCTGCAGGTGCAATAGTTGGGGCACAGGGATCATTGCAGAGCGTTTCCTGTCACAGCAATGCTGCTCAGGGTTGGTGCTTCAAGGAGTGCAGAGAGAAATTAAAAAAAAAACAAAACCAAACCTTTGTGTTTTAATATAAGTATTGTAATAAACAGTACTGCCAGGGTGGTAGGGGATTTATAAAGAGCTCATAAATGATGCTGCAGAAAGGATTTTGGTGTTTTATTACTCAGCTGAAGTTGACTGGGTGGGCTCTGGCCATGTCTAAAATGCTCACAGAAGAACAGCTAATCAGTTTGCTACCATTACATTGATTTATTGACAATCCACTCAAGAGAATTGGAAATATATGTAGAAATAGAAAATTCTTCTAGAGATGAAAAATACCCTGCCTCAGTTCCTGATGACTCAATGTGAAAAGTAGCCCCCTGCTCTTTACAAGCCTTGATGGAAAATTTGGAGTGTAAAAAAATGACTCATTGAGCTCCTACTAAGCTTTTCCCCCCCAATAACATTTTGTGTTAAATTTCCAGGAGGCAGTTTATTTACAGTAAACACTGAGATCATAATCCACAATGAAAATCCCAATTCCAGTACACTTAAACTTGCAGTCAGCAGGACAGCAAGGCATTGACTTTGAACTGAGATTTCAGCATTCTCCAACCCTTACAGCAGCAGAGCCTCTGATGTATAGAAAATTAATCTAGATGGAATATGGAAACAGAAATAAGTGTAACAAACCTTATACACTGCGTCCAGTCTTTCAAAATAGGAACACAGAGTGTTTCAAAATGTTTTCTGGTTTACATGTAACATAAAGAAATTATGTCATGCAAGAGGGCAGCAGGGCTGGCAAAGAAAGGATCTGTGTCTCTAATGTCACTGCAGCACAGCAGTAAGGTGGGACCTTGACATTATATCTTTATAATTTCACAAATGTGCTTATTTCCAGGTACTTGTTGGTTTTCAATTCTGCTTTATCCAGGATCCTCACCAGGAAGCCATTTCTCCCTGTCAGTGGTTTTGTCACCATGAAAAGCACAGGGGGACATCAGAGCCTTCTGTGCCCCGAGATGAGGAACCCAAACACTTCACAGAACACAGACCTGAGCCTGGCAGAGACCTCTGAGACCACAGTTCCCAGCTGTGCCTGATGCCACCTTGTCCCCAGCCCAGAGCCCCGAGTGCCACCTCCAGGAATTCCTTGGACACCTCCAGGGATGGGCACTCCAACCCTCCCTGGGCAGCTCCAATTCCTGCCCCTTTCCATGGGGAAATTCCTACTGGTACCCCGCCCCCCCGAGCCCCCTGGGGCCATTCCCTCTGCTCCTGTCCCTGTTCCCTGGAGCACAGCCCGACCCCCGGCTGTCCCCTCCTGGCAGGAGCTGTGCAGAGCCACAAGGGCCCCTGAGCTCCTGTGCTCCAGGCTGAGCCCCTTCCCAGCTCCTCAGGAATTCTCCATCCCTTCCCAACTCCTCAGGAACTCTCCATCCCTTCCCAGCTCCTCAGGAATTCTCCATCCCTTCCCAGCTCCTCAGGAATTCTCCATCCCTTCCCAGCTCCTCAGGATTCTCCATTCCCTTCCCACCTCCTCAGGAATTCTCCATCCCTTCCCAGCTCCCTCAGGATTCTCCATCCCTTTCCAGCCCCCTGAGGAATTCTCCATCCCTTCCCAGCTCCCTCAGGAATTCTCCATCCCTCCCCAGCTCCATTCCCCTCCCTGGCCACGCTCCAGCCCCTCAGTGTCCCTCTGGCCATGAAGGCCACAACCGGAGGGGTCTCATCGCTGCTACTTCCAACATCACCAAGAATCCCAATGAATTCAAACACCAAACCCTTCCCTGCCCAAAATCCAGACCCACCTTTGCAGCAGTGCTGCTCCTTGGGCTGGCGTCCATCGTTGTCATTGTGCACTCGGAGCAGTCAGAGCCAGCAGGGCTGGGACACTTCAGCCGTGCCCGGGCAGGGAACTCCCCTCAGCCGAGTCCATCTGACAGCTCTGCCCCGAGCAACTCGGAGACGAGGTAAGATAACAACTCAGACAACAGAAGATGAAAGGAGGGCAGGATAAAACCCAAAAAAAAAGCCCTTTTGGCCACTGGAAGTGAGAAAATGCCGCGTCAAGTGGGATTTTCCTTGGTCTTCCTGCACCAGCTTGTCGCAGTTAAGCAGTGGGAAGTCTGAGCCCTCTGCCTGTGCTCCCGTTTCCTCTTTTGCAGCAGTGAGAGCGGGGCTGTGGCACAGCCCTGATAAGACAGCCCTGCCAGGCCCAGCAGGGCAGGGTTTCACTGCCAGCTTCTCCCTCTTTCCAGGCAGTCTCGGCTCTCACAGCAGCAGGAAGCAGGAGCCCGTCAGGAATTTAAGGCAGCTCCACACTCCCACGGGGAAAGGTGTTCCCAGAGTCAGGGAATGGTTTGGGTTGGAAGGGGCTTAGGGACCACCTCATTCCACGGGCAGGGACACTTCCAGCAGAGCAGGTTGTTCCAAGCCCATCCAGCCTGGCCCTGCACATTGAATTTCACCCCAGGTTGCATTTTCTCCCTCAATAGGATGAGTTCAGTTTTTCCCAGCCCTTCTTTCTCCAACAGAAATCCACCAACCTTGTGGCCTCAGGAGGATGTCCAGGGTATGAAAGGCAGCAGGGTGCCAAGGACAGGATGGTTTTGTGTTCAAAAGGTAACTTTTTGCTCTTGCACTGTGAGTTCAAGCCCCCAGAACCACGGAAGCTTGAGGTGAGAGCTCCCACTGTTCACAGCCACAGCGGTGCTTTCACACAGAAACCACAAAAAGAGCGTTTAAAAGCAGATTCCAAACATCGGTAACAAGATGAATTACAGACAGGTGCTTTAGCAGAATTTACAAAAAGGTGGCACTCCAAAAATAAAAAACTCACTGCTGTCACCCATCCCACATCACGCCCCAGTGACTGTGTCAGGACTTCCCTTTTCCCTGCCCCCAGCTCTGCTGCTCCTTGTTTCTCCACCAAAAAGGCCACCAGCACCACTGCTGCTGAGGGTCACCAACGCAGAGGCAGAGGAGCAGCAAACAGGATTCAGCCTCAGAAATGTTCTGCATAGAGGGAGCTTTTCAAGAGAAAATGAAATGTCATTATTTAAATAAAAATATCCCACGTTCTACATTTTGAGTCTGTAGTTGTACCTGATTCAGGTGGAACACAACAAATTCATCATTCCCAAGTCCCCAAGCCTCCCATATCTGACAATTTCTCCGTTGTTATACAGAAAACAAATACAATTCCTTCTTTATGTATCAAAGAGCTTTTTAAAAGGCAATCTTTATTTAAATACAGACAAAACCTGTACCCTCACCAGCCCTTGACAATTCCTCAGTGTAATGGAAGTTAATCCAGCAGCAAGAACCACCTCACATTTAAAAACCCTCACAAAGGCAAGTGCTGAGCTCTGACCAAAGGAGCCTCCCAGCTGTGATGCCCAAGAGCTCTGCACGAGGAGGCCTCAAAAAACAAGTTTAAGACTCTGCTCAGGCAGATCTCTGGGAGAATAAGTAGTGAATTTTCCAACTTAGAGAAATTTTAAGCACAGTTTCTCAATGATGGGCACCGGGTTTGTGACTAATTAAAAGATAATGTAATTGAAGCGCTGTGTAAGACATAGATGAAGATTTCTCAGATGAAACAGTGACATTTCTGAGGTACACATACAAAAATTCAGATGCACAAGTTTCTTTCTTTGAGAGGATATTAAAGGTCTCTAAGGCAAAATTATTCTCATTTTCACCTGCAGCAGCACTGCCACATTTTAACTGCAATGTGGATATTCCTTAAAACTATTAGGAATTGTTTTGAGGTCCCACTTGTTAAGATAAATTCAGAAGAGGATGAGATGAAGTCTGACTTTAACACAAGAACTAGAAGACCACTTCTTGAATTCATCTAAACAATTTAAAATCCTGTTTGAATTCTTGTGGCACAACTCAGAACTGACGGCCTACCTGGCCAATAAGCAAAAAACACCAGAAAGAATTCATCAAAACCTGATGAATCAGACTGAAAGATACAAACCAGAGCTTTACAAATAATGAATTGTGGCTGAAGGCAGCTTAAGGCTTCGTTAAAGTTTCTACACCAAGTTTTGCTGCTCTTTGTGTGATCTACTCTCTGCCAGAGTTCAGTGGGATTGCACAGGCACAACACAGAGCAGAACTGGCTCCTTCTGAGCAGGACACAGTCCCTTTATCTCGTGTGTGATTCACAGGCAGGGGAACAAGCTTAGTCCTTCCTGCCAGGATCATTTTATTCTCCACTCCCTCTCTTCAGTACAATTAGAGATGACTTACAAAAATTAAACCACGCACACTAATAAAAAAAATTAGCGTGGGGTAAAGAGTCTCAATATTTGCTATTTTCCTGTCACATCTGACAGAATCCAAACCAGCCCAGCACGGCTTCCCCGGAGGCAGCTGCTGGCAGCACCATCCCCCAGGGGGGCAGGAGCTGGGAAATCCCTGCTTGGGGAGCTCTCCTCAGTCTGTGGTGGATCTCCTGTACCAGAACCTGGCCCTGTAGTCGTCGCTGCAGGTCATGAAGCCGGGGTTGGTGGGGGAGTGCACGATGCAGCGCACGATGCTGTTGTGGCCCAGGGACAGGAGGTTCCTGCGCTCTGCAGTCCTGGAGTCCCAGCAGCACAGGCTGATGGTCCTCTCGTCCGGCAGCAGCACGTAATCCTCGGTGTGGTTGAACACAGCCTGAGTCCTGTGCACCTGGCGCCCGCTCAGACCAGCACCTAAACACAGCCAGCACAATTAGAAGTCTTCATACCTATGAATCATTTTCTCTCAGTATCAATTTTCTATCAATTTTTCTCTGCTGTTCAACTGTCACCTTGATTTTTTATGGTTTTCTAAGCCTTCTGATATTTACATTCTTGTAACGAACTTTCTCGCACACTTTCTGTAAATAACTTACTGTTTTGCATTCTTTTATGGAAGAGAAATTTGATGGACTTTTGGATTGTCCAGTGTCATTGGACAGGTGGCACTTTCACCCTCCAAACCACTGTCACTCTTAGAAATCTATAAATGTAGGAGTCAGAAAATAAACTGCCCTTTTTACCTTGGAAAGAGCAGCAGAGTCCACATCGTGTTGCTTTGTGTCCTCTAGTGACATTCAACCACTTCCACAAGCAACAGGTGGTGCAGTAACAAATATTCTTTTGAACTTGTATCACAGGACCAGAAAGGTTTGAGTCCAGCCTGTGCCCCCTCCCCACCTTGTCACCAGCTCAGAGCATTGGGCACCATGTCCAGGTGCTCCCTGAACACCTCCCTGGGCAGCCCCTGCCAAGGCCTGACCACCTTTTCCACGAGGAAATTCCTCCTGCTGTCCATGTATATATGCTAAAATTCCTTAGGAGACAGAAGGAATACCTACTCCAGCTGTGCCATGTCCAATCCTTCACCTAAGAGTATTTCTGCCTGGTATTTCTGCATGAGGCTTTCAGCTGTGACCAAGGAGAAAGAACCCACAGATATGACGATCCTTGAGGACTTTTCAGTGTATCTCTCACACAGCACACGCTGTAGGAGCTCCCTTGGCCATACCCTCAGGTAAAACGTGTCTCCCAGAGAGGCAGGGCAGTGCACGGATCCTCCCTGCACGTTTTCCCGGGAAGGTGCTGCTCCCTGCTGGCCGCGAGCAGCGGAGCTGGACTGCAAACAGGGACCTACAAACCCCAAAAGCTGCCACACACCATTTCCAGCATCTTTTGTGCTCCTACTGCTTAAGCACATCAGTGCTTGACCCCAAAGCCTCTCACACAGCTGTTGTCACATGCAAAGCTTCCACAGCCTTTGTTTTTCCCTAAATTCTGCCGAGATCCAAGCATGGCACTGTCACCTTGCTCCAAGGGTGAGTACCTTGCACTCAACTGCATCCTTGGGAAAAAATACACAAAAAAGGGAACAAACCAGCTGCAGGTACATTTCAGAGTATTGCCATGGCTACAGAGCCACAGAGTTAATGGTTAAATCAACTGCCCTGAAGTGTTTCTTCTTACTTTTCCCCAATTCAGGGGTAACTTCCCTCCAGAACATTGGAGTGAGTAATGACAGAAAATTCTCCAAAATCTACTCAGACTAAAATATGTTAACATGGACACACAGAACCACAGCTACTCTTCTGGAATTGCTCTAATGGAAATGTTTTTAAAAATCTTGGGCAATTTGTCCTCAAAACAGCAGTTTCTCCATTGCCTTTTGGAATTCTTATTTTCTGACAGTATTTCCAGCCCTGCCATGTCTCAGCACCTGAAAAAGAAGGAGTCTGGAAGGTCACCTGCCACATACCTGTGTATTTCACCAGCGTCCGGCCAGTGGATATCTCCCAGAGTTTAGCCACAGAGTCTTTCCCACTGGACAAAATATACTTGGAATTTTTGGAAAAAATAGCAGAACAGACTTCAGCACCATCGTGTGCCTTCTCGAAGGTGGTGATGCAGCGGTTGGAGACCCCATCCCAGAGTTTGATGCAGCCATCCTTGCTGCCTGTCACGTACATGTTGGCGCTGGCGTTGTAGTTGACGGAGCAGATGGCGTCGGTGTGCTGGTCCTGGGGGTTGCAGGACACGAAGCACTGGAAGGTGTTGATGTCGTACAGACGAAGGGTTGGGTGCTGGGTCCCCACCAGGATGAAATCCCCAGAAGGGTGGAAAGAAATGGAGCGTAACATCTCTGCTTCCTGTTGGATGAAAAACACACGGCGGGGTGAAGAAGGAAGAAAGCTCAGCTGGAAGGGTCGGTGCTGGTGGTGGTAAAGTGGTAAAAACCTACTGGAATTATCAGCACAAAGTGGAAAATGTTTCCTGTGGGACTGAAATGACAGGCTGCCCCTGGCTGCATTGTAGTTTTTGTCCTAGAGCAGCCTGCAGTGCCCCCTTATTTTAGGATATCACCCCCCAGGCCCACGACCACCTACTCCCAAATGCTCAAAGATAACAGAACTGACTTCCAAGTTAATTCAGATCAGAGTTGGTCTAATGAATAAAAAGCTGACAGCTTCTAGACTTAAATACAAGTGTCCATGAAGCACAGAATTAAGACACAATCTCTGTAAGGTCAGCAAATGCTGCACCTGTGTGCTCCTGCACCCTCTGATCACCTGAGGCACAGCCCAGCTCACACCACCTCAGCACTCAGACATCTGAGCTTCGCCTGCTCTGAGCAGTATCTCACCTGGATGTATTTGAAGGCTCTTTTGGCAGAAGGTTTTGAATAATCAAACAATTTAAGTGTGTAGTCCCTTGAGCCAGAAGCCAGGATCTGTTCTGTTGGGTGGAAAGCCAAACACGTCACTTCATCCACGTGATCGTACAGAGTCCGGATCACAGGGTGGTTCTCCATGTTCTGCTGTGCTGTCTCATTCATCATGACCTACAAAGAACATTCAACATGTTGCTGCTCTTGGAAAATAAAGCAAGTTTTTGACAAGAAAAGTAGGTTTTTGGCTTGCCAGAGTGGCTGAACAGCAGCTCCTCTCTGACACGACCAGGCACACAATCTGTTCTCTTGGTTATTTGAAGACCCTTTATAGGTCAACAAGTAAGATCCCTGTCTTTATGAAGGTCAAAACAACTTGGCTCAAGGACAAACTA